TTGTTAAAGGCTTGGTACCCAGCATGGTGATATTGAGGTGGTGGAAACTTTAGGAGGTGGGGCCTATTAAGAAGTCTTAAGATGACTAGGAGGTCATTACAGGCATCACCTTAAGGGGATAATGAAGCCTTGGTGCCTTCCTCTTCTGCTCCCTGGCCATGAAATAAATGGATTTGCTCCACAACACCTCCCACTATGATAGCTGCTTTGCCACAGGCCTAAAAGCAACAGGGCGAAACAATAATGGACTGGAACTTCCAAAATTGTGAACCAAAAAAAATAAACCTTTTCTCTTTATAAGTTGATTGTCTCAGGTATTTGTTATAGTGATAGAAGGCTGACTAATACACCCACTGAATCAGAAAGGGGCATTTTCACAATATCCTGCAGGTGAGGCATATGCACACTAATATTTGAGAAGTAATGATCTAGAGAAAATGGATGATTTCCAAAGGAAATATAGGTACCAAAATTTAAGAATAAAAGCTGACATCATAATTAATGTAGAGGAGATTAGGAAAAAGAAAAAGACCTACCATTTATTTTTTATTTTTTTTTAGTTGTAGATAGACACAATATCTTATTATTTTTATGTGGTGCTGAGGATCGAACCCAGTGCCTCACGCATGCTAGGCAAGCATTCGACCACTGAGCTACAGCCCCAGACCCACCATTTATAGAGAGGCATCAGACCCAAATGCTTTTACAACCGAGTTCTGATTAATCATTAAAAACCAGAAAATGCCTATGGCTTTTAAACTATTCCAGATTATAGAAAACTTTCCAAGTTTTTCTTATAAAACTAAAGTTACATTAATTTTTTAAAATACTTTTTTTTAGTTGTAGATGGACACAATCTATTTATTTTCTTATTTTTATGTGGTGCTGAGGATCAAACCTAGGGCCTCACACGTGTGAGGCAAGTGCTCTACCACTGAGCCACAACCCCAGCCTCCTAAAGTTACATTAATATTTGAACCTGATAACAATAGTACAAAATGAGAAAACATCAGAATTGTAAACATAGATATAAAAATTCTAAATAAAATGCTAACCCTAAGCATCAGTATAAAGAACCATAAAATTTGCCTTAGTAGGGTACTTGAGTATGAGTATGGTTCAACTTTGGAAAAATCCATCAGTGTAATCCAATGTACTTATTAATTGCATCAACAGAGAAAATTATGTAATTTTATGTATAGGTGTCTAAAAGAGATTTGATAATGTTGGTCATTTCTAATAATATCTCTAAAATAACAAAGGAAGGAACCTATCTAACCTTGGTAAATGCTATTTACCAACATTACACTAAATGGTTAAATATTGAAGTATTGCCACTAAAATCAGAAATACAGAAATGCCTACTATAATATGTACTTGCCAGTATTCTTTTAGAAGTTCTGATATAAGATCAAAATGGAAATCATTGACATCTTTTTTTTCTGATATGACTGCACACAAATTCAGAAGACTTTTAAAGAATAATTAGAATTGGGAAGAGAATGTGGTAGATTAACTGGATACATTAAAATATATATATAAACCAATAGCTTTCCTCTATAATCTAGCAGCATCCAGGCATCTACAAAAATTATTCTGTACTTGTGAAGAGTATATGACCTAAACGATTAAAACAATACTATTTTATGAAAGATTATAAAATAAAACTAGAATAAATGGAGAAACATGGATGTGAGAACAATATGATGAAAATGTCAAGCTCAATTTCATATTAAAAATTCATGCAATTTCAATTTAAAAATCCCAGTGAGTCTTCTAAGGGAAACTGGGTAAAATGATTTTAATGTTCTTATGAAAGAATAAATGTAAAGAAAACTATGAAAAAGAATATAACTGAGGATGGATGTGCTTTTTGATATTAAAATTCACCATAGAGTACTGTAAAACAGTATGGCATCAGCAGAATAACAACAAATAAATCGGCAAGATAAAATATATGTCAGAAATAAATCCAAGGATATACATAAAGTGTCATTTCAGCTCATGGGGGTAAAGGATGACTTACTTCATAAACAGCATTATAATAAGTGGTTCTCCATCCAAGAGAAAAGAGAAATGAGACCCCTTACCAAACAACATATACCAAAAAAAATTTAATTGTATAAAAATCCAAACAAAATTAAAATAATAAAAATATCAGAAGAAAAACTAGGCACACATTTGTAGAATCTTGGGGTAGAGACGATCTTTTTAAGCAGGACAAGAGTTATAAAGGAAAAATATAAACATTTTAACATACCAATATTAAAGATTTTATATATCAAAAGATTATATAAACAGTAACAAGATAAATCAGACTATAAAAATGTGCAGCAAATATATTAGAAAGGCCTTACAAAAGATTCCAAATAGAAAATGGAGTACAGGATTTGAACAGGCAATTTCTCAGAGACAACACAAAGGGCTATCAGATATATAAAAGTATTAAACTGTACTCAAAGTCCAGTCAAAGCAAATTCAATGACAATATATTGTTTGTTTAACCTGTGAAATCGGCTGTAACACCCACTGTAAGGCCAAGAGGAATGGATCCTCCTATATATTTCTGGAGGAGTGTGAATTGACTTTATCCTAGAAATTTATCTTCAGCACATATCTCTATTCTAGGTGAACAGCAACAAAAAGAACAGACACAAATCTCTGCATTCCTGGAGTTAACATTTAGCAGAAAATAATTTGGTAACATCTAATAACATTTTTAAAATAGTACTTGACCTTTCATTTGGTAATCACATCCTGACAGAATCCATTCTATAGAAATCAAAGCACAAATACGCAAGGATTATATGTACAAGAATAGTCACTCCCTGCCTTCTTGTAGTGGCAGAAAACTGAAAACTACCTAAATGTACACCAAAGGAGTACTGGTTGGCTAAATTATGGTAGGTTCATATATTCTCTTACTGAAGAGAATGAGATTGAGTTTGGCCTACTGACCCAGAGGAATGAACATATTAAGTGACTTGTAAAGATGAATAATCTCATCTTTACAAAGAGGCATCAGACCCAAATGCTTTAACCAAAAGGTTAAAATCATTCAACCTTTCTTGGGGTGTCTCTTTGTACAGGTTTGTATGCGCATGAAGGGAAGATTCAAGTCTGTTAACTATGATTACCTCAAGAAAATAAGCTTGGAGGAAGTATGGGGGTGAAATAATTAAGTTTTTCTTTATATCTATTTTGTACTGTATAACATTTGTTCTAATAACACATATTCCGCAATTTAAAAATCTAACAAAATTAAAACTCACTGGGTGTAGTGGTGCATGCCTATAATTCCAGCAACTCAGGAGGCTGAGGCAGGAAGATCACAAGTTTGAGGCCAGCTTTAGCAACTTAGCAAGACCCTGTTCTCAAAATAATAAAAAGGGCTAAGGTGTAGCTCAGTGGCAAAAGCACACCTAGGTTCAATCCCCAGTACCAAAAATAGATAAGTAAAAATTTAAAACTCAGTTAAGACATTTTTTAAAGGATAGTAATGTTCCAGGTAATGGGATTAAGGGGGAAAGTATTTTACTTTCTTCTTTGTATTCTTCTGAATTTTCCATATTCTCCCCAAAAGAATATGTGTTTCAAAGAAATGTTTAAAGGCAACCAATAGATTTGGTAATACACTTAATGTTGAAAAGAAAATCGTCAAACACAGAATGGAATCAACGCTGAGGTTACAAATTGGATAAAAGATGACTAAGATTGAAAAAGAACAATTTCTTGAATAAAGAAGGTGGCATTGTGAAAGATCTCTTTTTTCCCCCCAACTTTTGTAACAAAAGCATGCAATAAAAATAACTTGCAAGCCTTCATCTTTGCATAGCTGTATATTTGCCCCTTCAAAAAAAATTTTTTTTTCTGAAGACCAACTAAAGTGTGCTGCCTTAGGGGAAATAGCAACTAAACCTTTGAAAATCTGTTACAACTACCACTTCAAGAGAGTGGTAAAATCAATAGGGGGTAGATGGACACAATTTAAAAAGGCTAAAGCAGGGGAGAACCTCAAATTTTGCTACTGTTCTAATGATAGAGGGCAACCTAGAATTGAACTAACCTTTATTAGTATGGCATAAGGGAACAAACTCTTTTTCCACCTCTTCCTGTGTCACATCCTGGGATAGTTGTGAAGGATGCTCCATTTCTCTGTTAAGAGACCAAACCAGTCTCTTTTAAGCTCATGGAGGAGTGGACGGTAGAATCACTGCCTTCAAGTGACTGGCTGCTATCAGTCAAGGCCTACACTGAGGGGAAATAAATTGGAGGTAGACACTCTGGGGCTCCCAATTCAGCTTTACTAGCAAAAGTCACACATTCAACTGGTGGTTTCTTCTGTCTATTTTCAATATGGTTAGAACCCAGAGGGGAGGACAGATATTAAAACTTCCAAAACCTCAACAGATAACTTTGCAATATTTCCCCTTATTTCAAAGAATCTCAAGCAAAAGGAAATGGGTTCTGCATTTAAAGTCAATTACAAGCATGGACATTCAAAAATCAATCTCTTGGAAAGCAAAATAATACAGGTCTAGTTAACTATTGTATAATATTGGCTAATGTGCTTAGATATTTCCGTAATTCACAGCTAAATGTTACCTAAAATTCCTAAGTAGGTTTTCAGAAGCAAAGCATCCTAGTGGCTTTATGTAGCTGTGTTCATCAATGTCAGCAAGACAAGTAACATGGGAGGCAATGGAATGGGGAGAAACCAAGTAAAGGAAAACAATTCTTGATTTTGACCTCAAATTTGATGGACAAAATGTTTCCATCTTGGAGGTCAGGAAATAATTTAAAAACTCAAGTAGGGACAGATACCATGCCTGATATGCAACCACAATGGTTACCTTGGTGCAAGAAGTGCTAACTACTGAAGGGCTTGCACCACTTCTACTTTGTAACAAGGATTTATTAACTGTGTGATCTGAGTCTCATTTCCACATGGATGTGGTGTGTGTGTGTGTGTCCTGTCTATAGCCAACACTCCACTAGGGTAACTTAAAACAAAATAGTAATTTATTTACAACGATAGCAAAGATGTCAAAAATAACAGAACAATATATAACAATTCAAGAATTATTTTATGAAAAAGGCAAACAATATATACACGAAACAAAAGATAAAACAAGTAAAATTCATAGGGCAAACTTAATTTTGACCTTATCTAAAAAGCTGCAGAATTCAGCAAAATGAATTTTGGATACGAATTACTTAAGTAACCCTGGGCCAATTAAATACACACGCACACATACACACACAACTTTTAAAAACCTTTTGCTCTTACTTGCCAAATTTTCCTCTGAATTCAATTTATCTTTGAAGAATGCAAACTTTGGGGGAAGGGCTTAGAATATTTAGGAAATGTTGTCTATTTACATGCGCACTAAAGAATATACTTACTGGCAGCCTCACACCTTAATGGTAAACTGAAAGTAGGAAACTCTGGGTCCTATTTCACCTTCACCATTCATTTCTGGTTGCTTTGTTTTTGTGATTTTCTCATCTACCACCCAAAATGTTATGCCAGCGATCCTTTAAGTTCCTCAAGTGCTCTAAAATAGTGTTTTCCAAACTTGAGTATGCAACAGAATCACATAGGGAACATGTTATAACACAGATCACTGGGCCCACACCCAGTTTCCCAATCCAAGGGGTCTGGGGTGGGGCTGAGAATTTGCATCTTTAACAAGGTCCCAAGTGAACCATTCTGCCAATGCTGCTGAGTCATACTTTAGAAGCCATTGCTCTGAAAGATAACCCCTTTTAAGGTTTTGACTGGTTATGCTTCTCCCTACATAAATCCTAGAATTTGTGGGAAATAAAGGAAATTGCTAATACTAAGATTCTCAGAGAATAGAGCAGCATATTACCTGACTAGCAAGGATCACAGTTGGGTTAGATGCCAATTTTCAGGCACTCTATTAAAACAAAGTTTTTGACAGCATGGTCTGGTTTTATTGGATTTATGGCTCTGGACAGTGATGGTCACCACATTCTCTTCATCATTTACCTCAAGTTTTGGTGTTGGTGGTTTACTGTTTCATCTATTAGGTCAACACGTTGCTCCTACAGTTGAAGAACTGCAGAATCTCATCTTTAAAATCAAAGGTGACACAAATCTTTTTTGATTTCTGAGAACTTTTACCTAACTTTTGATTTTTCCTATGACAATGACCATCCCGTACTGTGTCAACATCTACTAGAGCCTTCCAAACTGGGCACAGAGAGGTAACTCAAGGGCAGGGCTTCTGTAGTGGAGTGGTTAACAGTCCCCACTGATTAAATGTGCAGTGGATTGATACTGAAATGAACTTTAAGTGCTCTCAAAACCCACTTTATGCATGGGTAATTTATCTCAGGGGAACTGGAGATGAAAATAAAACAAATCCTTTATAAAGATAAAAGAAAAAATGAATTTCAAGGACATGCTCATCAAAGGACTCACCAATCACCTCTTAACTTCTCTGAAATATTACTTGCAAATTCACAGGACTGAAATATTATCAGTATTTGCATCCGAGTCACAAAATTCAAAGCAATCAAGCATTTTGCATTCCATTGCTGCATAAAAGGGAATTAAGAAATGGGGGGATGAAAATAATCCACTGCTTTTGATGTTTATTAGGTTTACAAAAACTGTACATTTTTTTTTTCCTTAAGAAAAAGCATTAACTTAGTACTGGTATCAAATAGACTAAACATTCATTAACAGGAAAATATTCTGATTTTTATTTTTGCACGTTATTCTCAAGTACACAATTACAATAATGTCACACATCCCTATATGATTTCCTTTTTATGTATTTTACTTTTTTTACAAAGTATACAGAGGGAGGGACATACAATATTTAATAGGATATTTCTACAGAACAATAACTTATATTATGTCCTTGTAAAAATCTGTACCTCTTTAAAACATTTAACTGAAACATCCATTTTTTTTAGCTTTGCTAATCAAATTGTTTTAAGAATTAAAACTAGGTTGTAACTAATGTCAGTACATAACAGTGACTACAATTTCATTTTCTCTTTATACAGACAAATACATTTTATATTCACTTGACCAAACCCTTAAATACCTTTTAAAGGCTTCAATATTGTGCTTTAAAAAGAAAAGAAATGTGTATGAATCCAGATTATGTAAAGAGAAATATAAAGTGTGTAAAGTGTTGTGTTCTTTATCTTTCAGTTTATTTAAAAAAATATAGTTAAGTGACCCAATCATTTATATTTTCTGTAATAATTTTACAGGATGTTTTAAAATTAATAAATTTCTATTTTAAGTGTTTTACATTATTTCTGGGGAAAATAAAAATTAAGGGAGATTTTAAAGGTTCTCACAAAAAAACAGACAGAGCTTTCAAGAATAGTAGGGCAATGAATGACAGAATTGTAAGTTACTTTAAAAAAAAAAACAAACATACTGTGGGGGCCAAAGGGGTATAGGCATTCCCTATGGAGCCGGCTAGGGGAACCTATGCCTTGGCTTTGACTGGCATTTAGGCTGGAGTTCACATGAGCCTAAAGCACTTGATTTAGAACTAGCCTAAATCAATCTCACACTTCAGGGGCTTGCCAAACACCAAATATTTAGATTCCTAACCCTAAAAATATAACTCTTGAATACAAATATGGATGGCAAAGAGAAAGATGAAAGGTAAAAACCTAACGGCACAAAGGGGATGGAGCACCATAATGAGGCAGCAAGGCAGCTATCAAATGGGAAGAAAATTTCTAAATTTCCCATGATGTGCCAGATCCATGTGTCAACAGCCAATTCTAGCCCCCCCCCAAACTGTTTTCTGTTCTCCAAGAGTCATCTTAATATAACTAAATTCTAATTAACCAAATTCATTTTATAAACGTTATGACTCTGATTCAGACCTACATGTTAAAAACTGCCAACTCTCAAAGAAAAACAAAACTGAAAGACTTGGTGAAGTTCCAAATAAGGCCTCAAACTTTCCTTATGTACTTGGAACACACCTCTATCTTCTAACCTAAGCCAACTTGAGTGTTAAGTTTTTTAAAAGTTTGCTAACTTTAACTGTCTAAGAACTAACAAAGCAGGCTGAACTTGCCAAGTGTAAGTCATAATTAGCACCCGTTCTCTGGTCCATGGAGCCATCTCTTCTTCTCTGTCCCCCCCCCCTCACTTGGTGAGACAGAGCTCTCTCTCCAGCTTCTCAGAGAGAACTGAGGGAGTCACGTCTGGATATTCATTAGCTTTTCAGAAAAATATAAAGGCATGGAGCTGAAACTGTATGAAAACATTCTATCTAAAAACATCTTAACCTCTATTTTTTCAATTATTTTTCAATTACCAAAGATATTTAAAAGAAAATACCTTTACTCTTTAAAAATACTAGTGTCCTTATTTTCCTTCTAATTCTTCACCTGAGTAATCTCTCTGAAGAGCATGACTTACAAAATGCTCTCTCATGCATCCCTGGATCTTTCATGTTATTGTAAATTTAATTAATACTTTTCATTATAGATTTTAAACAAATACTACTTGGGGTTGTGTGTATAAATATGTAAAATAAGCAATACACACAGATACATGTTATATATATGTATATATATATAATTCAGGGTACATTTACATATATAAAGTTGCAAAAGATCCTATGAGCCGCAAGTTACCTCTAGGAGATTCCAAAATGCAGTTCTCAGTAAATTTCATTTGTAGCACACAACCATTCCAAGACAAAGCAGCACAGACAGAATAATCAAAATACAACAGGAACAAGCAAAATTTTTCAATAAAGTTTTCTAAAAGTTTGCTATGCTAACAAAAGATGTAAATAGTCCAAAGAAAGCCAAAAAGAAGTATATTTTGTCTTTTAAACAAAATGAAAAGTAAACACAAACCCAGCCACTATTCTTAACTCAGCTATGCCAGGGACGCAAAAGCTCAAAAGGAAACTTTCCTTGTCATATGGTCTGAAAATACTAAACAAGACAAGTAAACACTTCCATGTTGTGATCATTAGACTTGACTGTAAAATCTCCCATTCGTATTCAATGTCTCTGACAATTTTATTGTGAGAAATTTATGGGGAAAAAGAAAATGAGTCAACATGAATACTTTCAGAGTTACCAATCTAAAGTTACCTTAAGTTAAAAGATCTTAGAAGAGTACCATCAAGGTAGGCAAGGTAATTATTTAAATAAATATAAAACTTCTAAGATAGAAAAATTCAGTATAGAACCAGGGATTACTTTATTAAAAGCAACTAACTTGTTGCTACTTTTCCCCATTTATTAAACAAACTGAATAGAATTCAGAACACGCTATTGAACAAAATGTTAAAAAAAAAAAAAAAAGTCAACTAGAAGCAATAACTCTATTTGTACACAGCATAAATCAATATACAGTATTGTAAGTGAACAAGACTGATTGGCTTTAAAATGAATTTCCTGCTTCAAGGCCAGTATCTCTACAAACGTCTGTAGATGTATCGTTAGGGCAGGCCAACTTCTTTGTGATGTCGCATTATGTGCTGGTTCTTTTCTGAAGGTCTTCGGAAACCTTTCTTGCAGTACTCACAGCGATGAGGATAGTCTTTCGTATGAATGGAAATAACGTGCCGTTTAAAGCCTGAGGCATCTGTAGTGCTATACTCACAGTACTCACACTGATACACTTTTCGGCCACTGTGTGTCTTCATATGCTTTTTAAGCTCATTCTGTTGCCTAAATCCCTTTCTACACCTCTTACACCTAAATGGAAGGTCCTTTGTGTGAACCGAAAGAATATGGCGACTTAGCACAAACGGATCTGCAATCTTAAAGTCACAATGTCTACACTGATGCATTTTTTTACCCTTGTGGGCAGCCACATGTTTCTTGAGTTCCGAAGGCCTGTGAAAGCCTTTATCACACATGTCACACTTATGGGGGTAGTCCTTCGTGTGAACTGAAATTATGTGTCGCTTCAAATCACTTGAGTTCGAACTCTTGTGGTCACAATGCAAACACTGGTGTGTTTTGCTTTCTTGGTGGATAAGAGCATGTTGCTGCACCTCTTTGGTATCTGAGAAAGTCAGAAGACAAATGTCACACTTGAACGGCATCTCTTTACTATGCTTAGTTTTTACATGTGTTTTCAAGTTAGAAGAGTCTGCAGATCTATATTCGCAGTACTGGCATTGGTACGGCTTCTCGCCAGTATGGATTCGCATGTGCTTTTTGAGCTCTGATGGGTGCCGAAAACCTTTACCGCATTCTACACAAATATGAGGAAAGTTCTTGCTGTGGACTGCCAAAAGGTGGCGATTCAATAATCCTTGTTCAGCTGTCTCATATTCACAGAATTTACACTTGTGCATTTTGTTGGCTCCTTTTTCCTTATGCACCATTTTGTGAGTAAACAAAGCCCCAGCATGAGAGAAATGCTTGCCACACTCATCGCACTCGATGGCCTTCTCTGCCTTGCTGGTCAGCTTGTGGCTCTCCAAGTGATTGTGTAAACTTATCTTCTTGTTGGTAGTGTAATCACAGTCAGTACAGCGGTACTTCTTCTTGGCAAGATGTTCAGGATGGTTTTTCATGTGCCTTTTCAAGAAACCTCGCGACTTAAACTTCTTCCCACAAATCATGCAAGGGTAGACAGTCAAGGGATGTCCATCAGGGCCAATAATTATTGCTAAGAAAGGAAAAGAAAAGATCATAAGGAACCAAACCAAGTTCTGTTTTGGTTTCTTCAAATATTTAGTATGTGCTCTGAACACTATTGGCCATGGGCTCACTCTTGTTACACTATCTGCTACTAACATCCCTTTTATCATTTTTCAACGTAAGAGATACAATGAGAACCTGGTCTGGAAACTTCACTCCGCAGAACTGTACCAACTCACTCCCTCCAGTTTAACAAAATTAATGAATAAATATGTAACCTCTATCAACCAGTGATTAAAACCATATCAATTCAGAAATCTGGGAAAAATTATTCATAAAAGTAAAGTTTTATAATCAAAATTCCTGCTTTGGTTATTAAAAAACATAATTTATGCTAATTTACAGTAAAGCTTAAATATAACCATAAAATTTTAATATGCAAATTATACAAGAATAGACAGGAATGTCATATGCTTTGAAGTACTTAGCCTGCTGCTTTATGCTGATATAATTAGATTCTTTAAATATATTAATTTTTTTTTAAAAAGTTAATGCTTGCAACATATTTGAGGAATTCCTTTTCAATTTCCACATAAAAATCATCCAAGTTTTAAGTTTTTTCATCCATGTTTGATCAATCCCGTTTCTTTTTATCCAACAAAATCATTCATGAATATCACTGAATTCTGAAAATTATATTTTCAAATTCAATACACGAAAACTACATGTAGTCTAGCAGCTAAAATGCCATCACGACACCCCTGTGGATACGTTCTAGAGTTTCCTCTGAGAGCTCAGAGCTCGCTGCGCCATGGAACTCGTGCGCCCTCACCTGTTTGGTACTGCCTGGAATCAGGTCTTCTCCTTTTCTTTGGTTTTTGCTTAGCCAGTCTGCCGAGGCCAGCAGACTCATCTATGTGCAAGAGGGCACTTGCAGTGCCATTCCGGTTTTCAATTCCATCAGAATTATTACCTAACAATGCGCATTAGAAAACAAAATTATACAGTATTATAAATTATAAAGAATTAGGAATTCTTTATTAATTACGACAATGAAACGTAAGCCATGATACTCATGAATGACAGAAATGCCTCATTCTAGGTAATGGGTTTTATGAGCACATTTACTATAGTGAGACCTTAGGAAATCCCTAGCTAAATTCCAAAGCTAAAAACACATGTCAGCAGTTTCCCCACGAACTCCCTTATTTTCTCGCAAAATTATAGTCATGGGCCAGATATGATCAAGATAAAAGTATCAGCGTGAAAGCCTGTGTACTTCTTGCAGTACTTCCTTCTATATAATAAACACATTAAGGAAATTCCTGTTAAAAATAAAGACAAAAAATAGACTTTATAATCTTCCTCTACTCTTAAATCAAATAATCCTGATAGGGAACTGGTATTTCAGATTTCAGAAATCTAAGACCACAGAAACTGTTTTCCTACCATGAATTTGCAGTTCAAGAACCAACTCAGCCAATCCTCAGGGCTGCTGTGTGACTTACCATAAGCTGCTGCCCATGCAATTGGCATGAAGGTTTTGATTTCATTGTCATCCATTTGCTGTTCATGCACAGCAGCAGCAGCTGCTGCCGCTGCCGCATCCTCCTCTCCTACGATCACTTCCATATAAACTTCATCAGCAATTTCAGCAACATCTAAATAGAAAATTATAAAAACTTTTCTGACCAGGTTTACAGAGATCACAGAAAAGATACCTGTACCTGAATTCAGTAATAAATGGAAAGAAGATCCAAGTATTATATACCAAACAACATAGCTTTCATATAGTAAGCACTCAATAAATACTTGTTGAATCAATCATTCATTTATTGGCTTTTACCATAATTTGGTTTTAAAGCAACATTCTAAACATAGTCATTGATGCTTCTCTCAGAATATGGCAGTATAATAAGAACTAAAATGATGCTACTTGTTCCCTTCAAATACTGGCCATCCTTAACAGAGAGAGGGAGAGCTTGAGCTATAAAAACGTAAAATTTTCTCCCACAAAAAGGCCACCTACTTACTTAAATCTTCATCTTCTTGCTGAGAGTCATTGACAGTCATATAAACCATCTTTTCCCTGGGAACACGAATACTGCTGTTCTGATCAAGCAGTTCAACTCCATGATCATTCTCAGGCTCACTCTCCACAATGTCTACGGTTCCACCTATTGGAAAAGACAACTCCAAGAATTTATTTGAAAATTCATTTCCACTTCTTCTCTCTTTTAACATACTTTTGAAGAATTACTTTTTATATGCTGTCACTACTTTAGAATTCTTGCTTAAAAGTTATCTCCAGCTGGGCATGGTGGCACATGCCTGTAATCCCAGATCCTCCTTAGGGTGAGGCAGAAGGATCTCAAGCTCAAGGCCAGCCTAGGCAACTCAACAAGACCCTGTCACAAAATAAAAAATAAAAAGAGCTGAGGATGTATGCAGCTCAGTGGTAGAGCACCCCTGGGTTCAATTCCCAGTACTACACACAAAAAAATAAAGTTATCTTCAGAAAATATTTCAAATGCTGTCACTTTAATCCAAAAGTAATCATGTTGAATTATTTGGTCAGGATGAATAATGTGCTAAGGTTTCCTCTTACCTAAGTCATCCTCTCCAGGGTCAGCTTTAAAAATGTACACCTTGATGACTTCAGGACAAGTGCCATCCACTTTACAAGGATCAATTTCTGACTCTGCATCCATAGTCATTCCAGATGAACCGTCATGTTCTATTTTGCCAGCATCATCCACTAAATAGGCAGGAAATACACCACAATTTATAAGAGATACTTAAATAAAACATTACTGTTTTCAAAAGTCCTTTTCACAGCTGGGCAAGGTGGTATATCCCTATAATCCCAGCAACTCAGGAGGCAGAGGCAGAAAGATCATAAGTTTTCGGCCAGCCTCAGGAGCTCAGCAAGGCCCTCAGCAGTTTAGCAAGGCTCTGCTTCAAATTAAAAAATAAAAAGGCTGGGAATGCAGCTTTATGGCAAAGTGCCCCTAAGTTCTATATCCAGTACAAAAAAGAGTTCTTTCACAAATATAAACTCTAACTTGATTCACATAAAATGAATCAAGTCATTGATAGTCAAATTGTTAAGTTCACTAAATACATTTCTTTATAAAGACATTTTAAAATGGGATCAGATATTAAAGCAAACCTATTATACACAGAGAAAACTCCTGGTATTCTAGAAAACTATGTGTAACAAAAGAATACAGTTAGCCTTTGCTAAGCCATAGGTAAAGGCATTCCTACCTTATTTATTTATTTGTGCATAATACATACAGTGAACTCACTATCCATGAGCTACATCTCTGGCCCTTTTCATTTTGATGCAAGGTATGGTTAAATTGCCAAGGCTGCCCTTGAACCTGAGATCCTCCCACCTTAGCCTCCCAAGTCACCGGAATTATAGGCATATCACCACACCCAGGTAAAGATATTCTTTTAATACTTAAAATGAAGACCTTGAAAGAACGTCCTAGTAGTAAAATAAAAAGAAAGGAAGTCTTTACATAAATATTTTATAAGCACTACTTCATAGTTACTATTCTTGAATATCATTTGATCTATTTCCATCAGAATAAGACAATAAAAAAAATAATCAAATATGATTGGCAGACAGGCGCACTGTAATGAGATGGCCAATGGAAATTCTGCTTAAACCTAAAACTGTACATAGTTTTATATACACATCATACACACAAATTTATTATAGTAATGAGTCTAGGTTCTTGATGGCAAATGCAGCAATAGGAGAATTCAAATATATTCTCATATACCCACTGTCCTCCCTAATGGCTATGTTATGTTGAAAAGAAAACAAACAAACAAAAAAAAAAACGAGGTACATATAATTTCTTAGTAGCAAAGAGTCAGGATATATAACCAACATTACATTTTTTAAGGCTTCATAAAAATAGCAAAGGAAATAAGTGTGCTATTATGCATAAGACTTGGAAATAAAACACAGGACAAACAATGTCTTTAAAAAAAGACTGCGGAGGATGTAGCTCAGTGATAGAGTGCCCATGGGTTCCATTCGCAGTGCAAAAACAAAAACATAAACTAGACTCTGGATTTGAAAACTACCCCAAATATAATTCCCATATAATGTATCCTTACACTACACATCACTTCTGAGCATCTCTAGCACAAAAGAAAGTGTGGCTAACATTAATAAAACTTAGCACCTAGGGCAATTTTTTGCAAAAATTGAATCTAACAATGCTGATACTATTAAAGAAACACTAAAGGAATGTTCTCTCTGCTCTAGGCCCAGCTAGAGACCAAACAGAAGAGAGCAGGACCAAGGTCCAGAAATGGTTCGTTTAGCTTGCCTTCAATACCCTCAACAAGTCTTTCCATTTCCCCTTTTCCTTTTTTTTTTTTCCCCCTTTCTGGTTTTCTACTGATAGACAGATCTGTTTCCTTTTGGTTGGACATTTATGTTTTATTCAATTCAGCAAACAGTGAATCACAATGGTCTATTAGATTTTCTGGTAGGTATTGGAGATACAAATATAAAAAAATGATGTACTCCAGAGGTTTACAAGTCTATTGGGAAAAGAAACAATTAGATAATTATTTTAAAATAGAGTAATACAGCCACCACTTATTAAGTGATTAAGGATAAGTACTATTTAATACAATACATTTAATACATTTTACAATACAACAAACTAAAGTGTAGAAAAGTTGAGTTAAATTTTTTGGAGTCACACAGAATTCAAGTCTCAAGCCACATGAGTCCTAAGAATCTGTCAACTTCTGGGGTTTGGAGAATGAGATGGAAACTGGCAGAAACCATGGATTTTTGAAACATTAATAAATAGTATAACCATCTAAAGATGCTTTCTTTTAACTGTGATATATATACACAATGGAATATTACTCAGCCTTAAAGAAGAATAAAATTATGGCATTTGCTGTTAATGGATGGAATTAGAGAATATTATGATAAGCAAAATAAGCCAATCCCAAAGAATCAAAGGCCGAATGTTTTTTCTGATATGTAGATGATAATTCACAATAAGGGGTGTTGGGGAGAATAATGGTATTTTAGACTAAACAGAGGGGAGTGAAGGGAGGGGAGGGGGCAGAGGGGGATAGGAATGATAGAATGAATTGGACATTATTGCCCTAGGTGCATATTAATGTAATCATACCTATGTAACTCTATATCATGTACACCAGACAAATGAGAAGTTATACTCCATTTATGCATGATGTGTCAAAATGGACTCTGTCATGTATAACTAATTAGAACAAATTTTTAAAAAACTGAAAGATGCTTTCTTTTAGTGGAAATCAGAAAAATGTGCCCATGACTCAGGCAGGCAGAGCCAGTACTGCAACCAAGGCTAGGTGAATAACATTTTAAATCCATAGTCGGGCTGGGATGTAGCTCAGTGGCAAAGCGTCTGCCTTGCATTCGCAAAGCCCTGGGTTCGACCCCCAGTTCCAAAAAAAAAAAGACAAAAAAAAAAAAAATCCATAGTCATCTCTTTTATAATTTATACCGATTAAACCAAGACAGAACCCAGATTTTGACATCTTTGAAATGATTATTTTGCAAAGTCCTATCATATTATCAGGTCCTAAAATTATATTTATGAATTTTTATATAGAAAAATCAAGATGAGCCAGGTGCAGTGGTTCACACCTGAAATTCCAGCAGCTCAGGAGGCTGAGATAGGAGGATCATGAGTTCAAAGCCCGCCTCAGCAACTTGGCGAGGCCCTAAGCAACTCAGTGAGACCCTGTCTCTAAATAAAATACAAAATAGGGCTGGGGATGTGGCTCAGTGGTCTTGTGCCCCTGAGTTCAATCCCTAGAACAAAAAAAGAAAATCAAGATGAACGCAATATTTCCAAAGGCAACATTAAAAAGCAAAAATGTACTGGCAATTTATCAACTTGGCTTCTGACTTACTGAGAATCAAGATCATCTATAACCCAAATAAATTACTGCAGAGAGCTGCAGGCAAACAACATCCTCAAACCTTTCTTATTTGTCATTCACAAACAAAAAATTATAAAATGTAATCAGCTTGCTTCAAATGCAAAATGCCAAGAATCTCTGGGCTGAAAACAGTTGTTTTGGTCTATTTTTGACACTGTAACATCATTAAATAGCAAACCACATTTTAATATATATTTGATTTAAAACCAAACACGTCACTTTAAAATGCACTTGATAAATCATACTTTTCCTTACATAATTCAAAGTAAGTTAAAAATGAAGGTTACTTGGCTGGGGGATGTAACTCAGTGGTAGAGCACATGCCCAACATTGCACATGGCCCTGGGTTCCATCCCCAGCACTAGGGGAAGGGAAAAAATGAAGGTCACAGAGAAAAAGCAAAACCTTGTTTACATACATTTGCATTTACACATATTACAAGATGATACTGAAGTTGAACTGTCATGAAATCTTTAATAACTGATACAGAACACAAAAGAGGATTAGTCATAGATTGGCAAATGTTGCACTGTACATTGATGGCTGCCATGGAAACAAAAAAAGGATATATCGCTCAGGCTAAGAAACACTTATTTCAGGTAAAGGCAGAGACACAAAGGTAGAGTGACAAGAAGTGGCATGATGTTAATGGAACACAACCTTCAGCACTGCTAGGATGGAGAATAAAGCAGATCAGAAAGCATGGTGGGAAACATAGGAGACTTCTAAACCTATGCCAGGTCACGGAGGACCTCACATACCTGGCAGAGAAGCTCACATCTGATTCTGGTAGGCTGGACTTCTCAATCTAATCAGGCATCAAAATCTTTTGGGGAACTTAAAAACATAGGCTCCCAACTCGCAATTCTACAAAATTAGAATGTGCAGGGATGGGGCCTGACATATATAGACAGATTTAGAGGTACTCCCTACCCTTAGGATTCTGATCAGAGGTTTGGAAATATCTGCTATGACAATGGGAAACTTTTAAATATGAATGACAAGGTCTGATGCCCATTTTTGCTATACCATTCTGCTGGCCTTGAAAAGGTGAATGCAAAGGGATCAAGACGTGAAGCAGGGAGACCACTGGTGAGTCTACTACAATAATATAGGCAACAGGTAAGAGATGATGCAGACTTGAATCAGGACAGAGGTAGTATAAATCGGGAAGAGGACTGGACTTCATGCCTATCTTGGGACTAAAATGAGCAGGACTTGGTGCGTTCCTGAAAACTTAACGTGACACAGGAGCCAAGGAGTATAACTGGGGTTTTTTATTTAGGAGAGTAAATGACTGGGTAAGAAATGTAAGAAAAAAAGGAAAGGGAGTTCTCTTCCTAAATGGTTAATTACTTTACCATCCCAAGGATAATATCCCCCAAAGCCCTCAGAGTCAGTGCTTGTCCCTACTCTTGTGCTACAAACACCCCTTGCTTGCTTCTCTCAGAATACATGATTCCCTGCGTTATCACATTTGCATCATCCCCTACCACCTTTCCCAACTGATACTGCAAAACCTATATTTTCATGACTTGGTCTTTTAAGAGTGTGGTGATAGCAGATACTCAGAAAATTGATGAATCAATAGTTCCATGAATGACTGAAATGTAAAGTCAGCTCCTAAATATTTGAGTCTGAAAGCTAAATACTGGCACACAAACTGGGAGCCATCAGCTATGTTAACTAAATCTTGTGATCATACAGTGAGAATCCAGAGTGAGGAGGAGTAGGAAGCTAAGGACAGAGTTTTGGGGAATGCCATACTTTACAAGGGGA